CACACACACACACACACACACACACACACACACACACACACACACACACACACACACACACACACACACACACACACACACACAGACAGACACATTATTATACATTTTATTTATTATTATTATTATTTTTAAACCAGAGGTGCCCAAATCTTTTAATACTAAAGTCCAAAAATCTAATTGTATTCAGAAGCATGGACCAAACGTAAATGTTGCTTTATATCCAGCTATATTATGTATTAAATGTATTCATTTTTTAAATATTTTAAAATAATTATTTTTAAATGTTTAATAAAAATGCTTTTTTAATGTATTGTTTTTTCACATTTTACATAGTTTTTTATTATGCAAAAACAAACAAAAAAGTAAATATGCAAATAATAAATGCCATGTTTTTTTTTTTTTTTCTTCCTATTGAAGTTTTTTTTTAAATATTTTATTTCACTTGTATTGTACTGTATTTCACACCAAACTTTTTCTTACAGTTTCAGTGAACTATAAATCAGCCTGGTGTCAGCTGACTGTCTGCGGTCAATCAAACGGTTAAACACTCTCACTAAGCAGCTGACATTAGTTAGTGTGGTGTTTGTGAATCTCTGACTGACAGCAGGAATCTGATCAGACGTACCGGATGTTGATGCCCTGTTTGTAGATCTTGCAGGCGTCGGAGGGTAAAATCCGTGAGAGTAAAGGCACTGAGGAAAAGAAAATCAACTTCAACACATCTTAGAAAAAAATGATTCAACATGTTATGCCACAGAAAAACAGACCCGATAGAAAACAAGCCACGATTTCAGTCATATTCATTACTGTTTAATGACTTAAGAAAATCTCAAGAACTCTAAAAAAATTACATTAATATTAATAATATTTTAGATCCAGATTATTTCACGACAATTTCCACACACTCTCACACTCACACACACATACACACACACAAACACACTCACACACACTCACTCACACACACACACACATATTCACATACACACTCACACTCTTACACACACACAGACTCACACTCACACACATACACACAGACACAGACTCACACACACACACTCACATACACACACACACTCTTACACACACACAGACTCACTCACACACACACACACGCACACACTCTCACATACACACACACACACATGCACACAATCACACACGGACACACACACATAATTATTATTATTTATTTATTTTGACATCATATTCAACATGTTATGCCACAGAAAAACAGACCTGATAGAAAACAAGCCACGATTTCAGTCATATTCATTACTGTTTAATGACTTTTAAGAAAATCTCAAGAACTCTAAAAAAATTACATTAATATTAATAATATTTTAGATCCAGATTATTTCACGACAATTTCCACACACTCTCACACTCACACACACGTACACAAACACACTCACACACACACACACACTCACACACACACACACACACACACACACACA